AAAGAAGAAGAAGACTAGGGACCTGGGATCCACTCCCAGGGCCAGGCTCCCAAAGGGATTGCCACTGAACCCAGCACCTGAGTCAGGCACTCCTGGTGATGTATGTGTGGGTGAATGGGTTGATTAGAAGGGACTCCATCAAAGACTGGGGGAGAGGGGCACATTGGGGCTAACTTTGTTTTGCCCAAGCCCTTCCATACAACCCGGGCCAAAACCAGTGGTCACCTCATTCAGCCAATCCAGTCTGGGAGGGAATGAAGGCACGATGCTGCAAACCTCAATCTGGGCTAGAGAAGGCCCTGGCTGCCAAGCAGTTTCCCACGCCTGCTCTGTGAACCTTCCTGGTCATGAATGAGGGGAAACTGGTCTGAGAATCTCATCAGAGAGCTAGCCCAGAGTGGGAGGTGTCCAACCTCCGCCCATACCAGTGCAAGGGATATTCCCTATGGCACACTGTCCAGGCTGGCAGCCCAGACCCAGGGAAGCCACAGTCACACAGAAATATACACAACACACATAAAGCACAGAATGAGCCACTCTCCTGGCCTTCCTCAGCCACCAGCTGACCTCCACCAGAGTTCAACTAAAACCAAACAGAAATCTTCCTGCATCTGCTACATCCTGTTATGCCATGGAGCCTCCCTCTGTCTGCCCAGGTTCTCCCATTCTCTCCCTCTTCTCAGAAGCTTGCCCTGTGGATCATCCCTTCTCTGTCTTGAATGTTGAACTTCCTCCTCTCAAATGGATCCATCCCTTAACCTATAAATATGTTCAGGCCTCTACTATGGAAACAAACCCTCATTAGACTCCACCAACTACTGCAGTGTCTCTCTCCTTCTCAACTACAGCAAAATTCCCTCAAAGAGCAGTCTCCTTGTCTTCACCTCTCTCTCACTACTCAGCCTCTGTAGTGGGCCTTCTGGATCCCTGACAACACCAAACCAGAACTCAGCAAACTCTCTATAACCTCCAAGTCTCTAAATTCAACAGCCACTCTTCTGTCCTCATTTGCCAACCCCCTAGCACCATCTGACACCCCAGCAGCGTTTGACCACTGTCTCCCTGAAATACTCATTTCCCTTGGTTGCCACCATTTTCTCTGGCCACCTCTGCCCAAGCATCTTTGCCTCCAGTACATCCTCCTCTCCCTCTCTCCCCATTAGTTAGTAAAGGTTGGAGTTTCCTCAGAGTTCAGGCCTTTCCTCTTTCCTTTCCTCTTTCTATAATTTCTTCCTATATGCAGATGACTCATAAATTTCTCTCTCTACTGTTGTCCTCTCTCGTGAGCTCCGGACTCATATAACTGGCTGCTGAGTCTACATCTCCACTTGACTGTCCACAGGCACCTCAATTACAACATGCCCAACTCTCTCGCCTTCCCCCCACCATATCTCCCATATTCTCTACTTCACTGAGGGAGCACCACCCCCACCAGTTACCTAACCACTCAGCACCTCCCTGTGCCCTGCCCCCCGACACTATCCTTCCATCTCCCACATCCATTCAGTTCTACCATCTGAATCTCTCTCTAATCCACCCATTTCTCTCCATACTCTTTCGTTTGAATGATTGCAACAGTTCCTGGTTGGCTGTTCCCCTCCATTCTTGTTTTCCCTGTCCCTTCTCCACACTGCAGCCAGCGACCTCCTCAGAATGCAGTTCTGAACCTGTCACTCTCAGCTTAGTGAACTGCATTGTTCTTAGGAAAAATCCTGAAAATGGTCTATAAGGCCCTGTGTGGTTTGGCCCCTGCTCACTTCTCTAGCCATGCTGACCTTCCCTCAGTCCCTCTAACTGGCCATTCTCCCTCCCCACTCCACTCACAGGCCTTTGCACATACTGTTCTTTCTGTCTAGAAAAATTTCCCTCCTCCCTGATTAAATCCCTCAGATCCTCCCAGAGGGATTTTCCTCACATGCTTGACCAGGTCAGAACCTCCTATTACAGCCTCTCATACCCTACATGCTTTGTTAACACTTGCTGTAGTTGATATAGCTGAATGATTGTTCGATTAATGTCTGTCCCCCGCACTGCCTACAATTGGCCTGGGAGCTCCGGGAGTGTGTAAACTATGTGTGTTTTTGTCTGTCATCATATCGTCAGCTGCTACCCCAGAACTGAACTCAATGAATAGTTCATGACTACATGAAGGAATGGGTATCTCCTTAATGCCTTGCTCCATACACGGGTAGCCAAGGCCTGACTAAGGCCTCTACAGGGCCTCAGAGACCTGGACCCCACTCATTCCTATGTGTCTGCATCTGTTCCTCTTCTATATAAGGATCCTTATCATTGGATTTAGGGCCCACCTGAGTAATCAGGATGCTCTCACCTCATGATTCTTAATTACATCTGCAAGTTCTTTTTTCTAAATAAGATCACATTCACAATGTCCAAGCATTAGGACTTAGACATATCTTTCTGGGGGCCACCATTCAACCCAGTACACCTGACCCTAATGCCCTTCAGGGGTTACTGGGCCCCTTATAAATCTTTGACTCTTACTTACGAATCTCCAGCCAAGGTCCACTCCAGACCCACGTAGCCTTTTCTTTGTGGCCACTTGATGAATGAACTCATTATCTCCCCACATCCTAACCCACACCACCCAAACTGCTGCTGCTCCAGCATTTCCCATATCTCAGGAAACAGAATCAAATTCTCCTGGTCATCCCCACTTTCTTCCCCACCATGTCCCCCCCACATCCCTGTAGATCTCTCAGTCCATTTACCTATCTCCATTCCTGTAACCACAGCCCAAAGTCAGGACACCTCCACCTCCCACTTGGACAATCCATCATGGCCCACAGCTTCCACTCAGCTCCTTCTATCCTTAGTCCATTCCACAAGCAGAGTGATCTTTTAACAGTGTGATTCTGATCATGTTGTTTTCATGTATAGAACTTCTCGAGGTGTTTCTGCCACCAGGATAGACACACATCACACCAACGCTGCCAATACCCTTTATCCAGCTCTGATGGCCTCTCTTATATGCAGCCTCAAACTTGATGCTCCAGCATCCCTGGCATTTTTTAGGTCCCTGGCCTTTGATTGTGTCATTCTTCTGGCCAGAACACTCCAAAATGTTGTATTCTCTGAAAGCCTTCTCTGGACCCAGGCTGACCCAGGTCCCTGCATAGGCCCTACTGCTCCTTATGGATGAATTCCACGTATGCCATCTGACTATCATGTCTACTTCCTTCACCACGGCGCCTTCCTGGGGATGGGGCTGCTTCTGTCCTGTTTATCACTGTACCTCTAGCATAAGGCCTGGCACCCAGGACCTAGACAGGGGATGGGGAAGAAAAATACATGAAAAATACATGAATGAATGAATGGTCATCCCTCACTGTGGCCTCCAGCAGACCTCACTAAGAACAACCATTCTGGGTCACTTAGTGACTCAACAGCCATGTCACATTCCTTTTTCCCCAAATCTATTGTGTAAACAAAGCCACATCTGGTAATGGCTCTATCCTATTCTAAGTGCTAAGGATTCAGGGACTGTGAAGATCAAAGGGTCTCTGTCCAGGGGGCAGAGTGTAGCTCAATGGTAGAGTGTATGCCTAGCATGCACAAGGTCCTGGGTTCAATCCCCAGTACCTCCATTTAAATAAACAAATAAACAAACCTAATTACCACCACCATGCCCCCCCCACAAAAAAAACAAAGGGTCTAGTGGGAAAACTGGCAGTTGAACAGACTCACACAGCAAACTTATCCAGGCCCAGCCCTTTCCAGCTGGTAAAGGCTTCTGATAGGAAGTGCTGCCTTCCTGGTCCCAGTCTTAGAGACCCTCCTCAGTCTCCAGATCAGGTATGGACTTCCACCTTTGACCCCAGCTTGGCCAGAGGCATTGCCAAATGAGGCCCTACCCCCTATCCCTAAGTGAGATTCCCCGGCCGATGGCTCCTCAAAGCTGCCTAGAATTGTTTGCCTACCACCTCTATCCCAAGAGAAGGATCTGGCATATCTCCAGAAGTGTTGGCAAAAATACCTGTGCAGGGTGGACAGGTA